CAAGTAATAGGAATAGTAATGTTATAATAATGGAATAATACAGGATCATGAAATACATTATAGACAATTTGGGACACAGAAGTGCTAATGTAGTCCATAACAGTAGCAGACAGTCATGCATGTACCCTGATAGCCCTTTGAAAAAATAATTTAGTTAATAGTCTAGATGTTATTATCGAAATTATAGACTCATTCAGGTGACATAATTCTCTCCACAAAGAAAACTTAGATTTCTGACCTTGAATAGTAGCACAAAGAGACTGAACTGTATCAAAGTAGGTAATTAAATATTTATGAGGCAAAGAGTAAAATTATTAGTACCATTCTTGATAAAGAGTTCAATGTGAAGTAAATAAAAGTAGATGAGATTGGATGTAATGCAAGGTAAATGATGACTTGCTATACCTTATTAAATTTAATGTGGGGATAAAAAACTGACATGAACTAGTATCTAAATGAATGTATTGAGGTGAAATGGAAAAAAGAATAAAAAAATACTTTGACATTTAGAACAAGGATAACCAAACTATATTCTTGGAGAAGCAGAGAAAGAAGAAAAAGAAAATATTTTGAAAGGAGGACTTGACTTTGATTTAAGAGAAATTTAATGTAATACTGAATTATAATTTAATGAGATAAAAAACTGTATTCTATCCTTTCCCATAGATTATATGACCATATGACTTTTACTTAGAGTCTACATTATGTTGCTTCACCAAAATAAATGGACAAAAATAAAATATTCAAGATAATATAAACAGGGTTAGTTCAGTATTAGATTTACACAAATTTGATATATAATAATGCAGGATCACCTGTGCCTGAGCTAAAAATAGTAAAAAGAGCTAAAAACAAAAATACCTTTTTAAAATGTGTTTAAAATGAAAAGAGTAAACAAATAAATTACGTAAATTGTTCTATTTGTATAAGTAACTGTAATATTGTAATGGTATTGCCTATGTTGTCTTACAGGGTTTTTATAGTATTGGGTTTTAGATTTAAGTATTTAATCCATCTTTAGTTGATTTTTGTATATGGTGTAAGGAAGGGGTCCAGCTTGAATATTCTGCATATGGCTAGCCAGTTATTAAATAGAGAGTCTTTTCCCCATTGCTTGTTTTTGTCAGCTTTGTCAAAGATAAGATGGTCATTGTTGTGTGGCCTTATTTCTGGGCTCTCTGTTCTGTTTTAATGGCCTATGTGCCTGTTTTTGTACCAGTACCATGTTGTTTTGATTACTATAACTCTGTAGTTCAGTTTGAAGTTGGGTAACATGCATGTTGAGGAGTATATCCCTAATGTGTACATTGAAAATATTTTAAATTCCTTAACATTTTATCACCATCAAAAATTTTTATCACATGCATAATAGATATAACTAGACATTACACTACAGAAATAGAAAGCAGATATAGAAAATCAGGGAATGATAATCCAAGCCACATTTAAATACTTTAAAATTTTTCTTCTCATTAATATATTTCCCAATCACCTCAAATAAACTGATTCAGCCACAGGTAACTTTATGTTACTGATGGCTTGTTCCGAATTCTTTAAAAATATATTTTGGCATTGAAATTGACTTGGTGAAGAGATCTACATTGCCGTGGAATATCTTGGTAATTAATTTATACATTGAAATTTACTTGCCCTTTTCCTTCTATAATTTCAGACTCAGCATGAGGGGTATACTTTTTATTTTCTTATGATGAAAGTGATAGATAATGGCTGTAAGCTAGAATCTACACAAAGGTTTCAATTCTCAGAGTTTTGCTAGAGCAATTCTGATCTCTGCGTGTTTAGGAAAGATTTATACATATTATTTTTCCTAAATCAACTAATCTAATTATGTACAAGTACATACAAGTGTAATGACAACAAGTAACCTTCCTCCGTTTACTTCATTTTTCACTCGTTTATCAACATTTTATAAAAATGAATTATTCCAGATCCTCTAAGACTGAAAATAATGGTATCCCAGTATAATTGGTTCATTAAAGTATCTTATCTTGAATTATTTTTAACTGAATATATGTATGAGTGAATATATATTCTTATGATTAAATTGGTAGAAATCATAAAAATATACTGTGCAATACTCCAATAAGAACCTTAGATTTGAGACTCACAAATAGGGAAAATATTTTCTTTGTACCAATATTTTAATATATTTGAGTACAGATACTACTTTATAAACCTAGTGTGATCTCTATCCAGTGCTCGGATGTTATGATAAAAAAATACAGGTGATAAAATATTAATATATGAATAATTCCTTATGTTTATTTAACTCCAAATTGTTTATATTTCTTAAAGCAAGTGAAAACTGAAAGTAACAGACTTTAGCTAGTGCATTTCTTAGTATTCAATGCACTTGGAAAGCTGTAATAGAAAATCAGCTGATTCTGGCCTCAATCTTCTGTATATTTGGGGTAATAATAAAAGTGATGTCAGAAAGCAGCTTTAAAGCCATGAAAGCCATTTGTTCTCCTTTGAATGAGGATGATGAAGATGATGATGGTGATGATGGTGGTAGTATTGAACACTAATATATTGTTCGCTATGTTAAGCACTAGCCTAAACCTTTTGTATAAATTAAGTCATTTAATATAACAAACTTATAAAGTGTGACGATTTTTTCCATTGCATAAAGGAAAACTGACAAGTAATAACATGGAATAGCTTGCCTATGGTCACACATGCCCTGGCCTACAGCCAGTTTTCAAATGCAAAGTGTCTACCTTCAGAAATTATGTTCTTTCCCTTTCACACTTCTGTTTCTCATAACAAGATTTTCTCTTTGCTGACTTCTCATTCAGGACTGAGCTAAAACATCACTGATGCAGAGGGGCTTCCCAGTATCAACCAGTCTAAACTGGTCTTGCTGCACCTCCTTTCTCAATTTCATCACTGTTGATTCCATTAGCTGTTTTTAAAAATCCTTTGTAGCACTTTTACTATTTATATCTATCTATCTATCTATCTATCTATCTATCTATCTATGCCTCTTTCTGTCTAGCTAGCTATTCTTCAATCAGTCAATCTAGTAATTTACTCAACTGCCTCCCATCTTGTTTATTGAGCAAAAAATTTCTCAGTCTTTTTCAGTATTCTATGGCCAGCTCATACAACAGTGACCGGCACATTATACATAGTTATTAGGTAGTTGTTCAACTATTTTAATAATTGAATAAATAATTATATCTGTAGAATTAACTAGATTTTTGTCAGGATTGTTCACCACAAAACATTTTAAAGCCATGGGATTTAGAATTATCTAAAACTGGGTTTCAGCTTCAGTTCCATCATTTTTTAGATATACGATCTTGTAATAGCTATTAAAGTTATTTAAGCTTAGTAAATCGTTTCCATTGGCAAAATGAAAGTACCTACTTTATATGGTTGATTTGCATTTAAATTTGATTTAAATTCAATGGTACTTGTAAACTTACAGTATCTTTTACATGATAGGCACTCAAATGTTAGGTCTGCATATTATGCAGACAGTGACATACCTGTAATAGAAACAGTGGAGCATGGAAGAACATTTAACAATGAAGCAGGATCAGATTGATAACAAGAAAAACAACAAACACTTGGTATCAAACTAGCCCAAAACCAGAATAGGAACTTTACTCCAGAACCACACTCATCTAATATTTCCTGTTTTAGAGGCTTAATAGATCATACCCCTTTATAACTTTCTTGAGTTTAGTCCAATAAAAAGATACACACTGGTGTCAGAAAGATGGTAATTGTAAGTGGATAATGTGAGTAACATGGTGGTTACTATGGTTTTCTTAAAGTTTAGCCCATTACAAAACTTATCCCCTGTCTCAATACTGAAGAAGCTGCTTTGGAGTGCCAGGGTCTACCCTAAAACATTGTCATGTAGTTGAAGAGACACTGGTACCTGCTGCAGCTCAGCATATCTAAAATAAGAGAAAGAAGCAAGTCCTATTCCCTTGCTTTATTTATTTTTTAGAAACCACTTTATTTAGTTACGATTGACATGTAAGAAGTTGTACATACCAAATGTAAACAACTCAGTGAGGTGGGGATAAACATAACGCTGTGAAACCATCACTACCATCAAGACAATAGACATATCTATCACCTACTGAAGTTTACTCCCACTGTCTTTATTATTTTTATTATTATTGTTAGATTTTTGGCATAAGATCTACTCTTCCGGCAAATTTTAAGCATACATTGCGATATTGTTAGCTATAGACACTATAGTGTATGTTTGTAGATCTCCAGAATGTAATTTTCTTGTATACAGTAATGGAAACTCTGTACTTTTTGATTGGGAATAGAAATTGGCATAGTCTTTGTGGAAAACAGTATGGAGGTTCTTCAAATAATAGAACTTCCATATGATCTGGCAATCCTACTTCTGAGTATTTATCCAAAGGGATTAAAATCAGAATTCTGAAGGATGTCTGCACTTCACTGCAGCATTATTCACAATAGCCAAAATATGGGAACTACCTAAGTATCAACTGAGATGTAAATGGATAAAGAAAATATGATGTATGCATATTATAAAATGTAATATTATGCAACATTAAAGAAGTAAATTCTGCCATTTGTAACAACATGGATGAACCTAGTGGGCATTATACTATGTGCAATAAGCCCCATACAGAAAGACAGTTACCAAAGGATCTCACTTTTATGTGGAATCATAAATAGTCAGACTCCTAGAATCATAAAGTAGAATGGTGGCTGCCTGTTCCTTTTCTTTTTTTTTTTTTTCCCCATTTATTTAGGTTTTGGGGTATATGTGAAGAACATGCAAAATTGTTGCATAGGTACACACGTGGCAGTGTGATTTGCTGCCTTCCTCCCCCTCACCTACATCTGGCATCTCTCCCCCTGCTATCTCTCCCCAGCTCCCCACCCCCCACCATCCCTCCCCTATTTCCCCCCAACTGACCCCAGTGTGTAGTGCTCCCCTCCCTGTGTCCATGTGTTCTCATTGTTCAACACCCGCCTATGAGTGAGAACATGCGGTGTTTGATCTGCTCTTCTGTCAGTTTGCTGAGAATGATGGTTTCCAGATTCATCCATGTCCCTACAAAGGACCCAAACTCATCATTTTTGATGGCTGCATAGTATTCCATGGTGTATATGTGCCACATTTTCCCTGTCCAGTCTATCATTGATGGGCATTTGGGTTGGTTCCAGGTCTTTGCTATTGTAAACAGTGCTGCAATGAACATTCGCATGCACGTGTCCTTATAGTAGAACGATTTGTAATCCTTTGGATATATACCCAGTAATGGGATTGCTGGGTCAAATGGAATTTCTATTTCTATGTCCTTGAGGAATGGCCACGCTGTCTTCCACAATGGTTGAACTAATTTACACTCCCACCAACAGTGTAAAAGTGTTCCTATTTCTCCACATCCTCTCCAGCATCTGTTGTCTCTAGATATTTTAATGATCGCCATTCTAACTGGCGTGAGATAATATCTCAATGTAGTTTTGATTTGCATTTCTCTGATGAGGAACATTTTTTCATATGTTTTTTGGCCTCATGTATGTCGTCTTTGGTAAAGTATCTGTTCATATCCTTTGGCCACTTTTGAATGGGCTTGTTTTTTTCTTGTACATCTGTTTTAGTTCTTTGTAAATTCTGGATATCAGCCCTTTGTCAGATGGGTAAACTGCAAAATTTTTTTTCCCATTCTGTTGGTTGCCGATTCACTCCAATGACTCTTTCTTTTGCTGTGCAGAAGCTGTGGAGTTTCATTAGGTCCCATTTGTCTATTTTGGCTTTTGTTGTCAAAGCTTTTGGTGTTTTGGTCATGAAGTCCTTGCCTACACCTATGTCCTGAAAGGTTTTGCCTAGATTTTCTTCTAGGGTTTTTATGGTGTTAGGTCTTATGTTTAAGTCTTTAATCCATCTGGAGTTAATTTTAGTGTAAGGTGTCAGGAAGGGGTCCAGTTTCTGCTTTCTGCACATGGCTAGCCAGTTTTCCCAACACCATTTATTAAACAGGGAATCCTTTCCCCATTGCTTGTTTTTGTCAGGTTTGTCAAAGATCACATGGTTGTAGATATGTTGTGTTGCTTCCGAGACCTCTGTTCTGTTCCATTGGTCTCTATCTCTGTTTTGGTACCAGTATCATGCTGTTTTGATTACTGTAGCCTTGTGGTATAGTTTGAAGTCTGGTAGTGTGATGCCTCCCCCTTTGTTCTTTTTGCTTAGAATTGACTTGGCTATGCGGGCTGTCTTTTGGTTCCATATGAAGTTTAAGGTGTTTTTTTCCAGTCCTGTGAAGAAGGTCATTGGTAGCTTGATGGGGAGAGCGTTGAATGTGTAAATTACTTTGGGCAGTATGGCCATTTTCACGATATTGATTCTTCCTAGCCATGAACATGGCATGTTTCTCCATCTGTTTGTGTCCTCTCTTATTTCGTTGAGCAGTGGCTTGTAGTTCTCCTTGAAGAGGTCCTTTACATTCCTTGTTAGTTGTATTCCTAGGTATTTTATTCTCTTTGTGGCAATTGTGAATGGAAGTTCGTTCTTGATTTGGCTCTCTTTAAGTCTGTTATTTGTGTATAGGAATGCATGTGATTTTTGCACATTGATTTTGTATCCTGAGGCTTTGCTAAAGTTGCTTATCAGTTTCAGGAGATTTTGGGCTGAGATGATGGGGTCTTCTAGATATACAATCATGTCATCTACAAATAGAGACAATTTGACTTCCTCCTTTCCTATTTGAATGCCCTTTATTTCTTTTTCTTGCCTGATTGCTCTGGCTAGAACTTCCAGTACTATATTGAATAGGAGTGGTGAGAGAGGGCATCCTTGTCTAGTGCCAGATTTCAAAGGGAATGCTTCCAGTTTTTGCCCATTCAGTATGATATTAGCTGTTGGTGTGTCATAAATAGCTTTTATTATTTTGAGATACGTTCTGTCAGTACCTAGCTTATTGAGGGTTTTTAGCATAAAGGGCTGTTGAATTTTGTCAAAGGCCTTCTCTGCATCAATTGAGATAATCATGTGGTTTTTGTCTTTGGTTCTGTTTATGTGGTGAATTATGTTTATAGACTTGCATATGTTGAAACAGCCTTGCATCCCCGGGATGAAGCCTAGTTGATCATGGTGGATAAGCTTTTTAATGTGCTGTTGCAATCGGCTTGCCAGAATTTTATTGAAGATTTTTGCGTCTATATTCATCATGGATATCGGCCTGAAGCTTTCTTTTCTTGTTGAGTCTCTGCTGGCTTTTGGTATCAGGATGATATTGGTCTCATAAAATGATTCCCTCTTTTTGTATTGTTTGGAATAGTTTCAGAAGGAATGGTACCAGCTCTTCTTTGTATGTCTGGTAGAATTCGGCTGTGAACCCATCTGGACCTGGGCTTTTTTTGGGTGGTAAGCTCTTAATTGCTGCCCCAACTTCAGACCTTGTTATGGGTCTGTTCAGGGTTTCGGCTTCTTCCTGGTTTAGGCTTGGGAGGAGGCAAGTGTCCAGGAATTTATCCATTTCTTCCAGGTTTACTAGTTTATGTGCATAGAGTTGCTTGTAATAATCTCTGATGATGGTTTGAATTTCTGTGGAATCTGTGGTGATATCCCCTTTATCGTTTTTTATTGCATCAATTTGGTTATTCTCTCTTTTCTTTTTTATTAATCTGGCTAGTGGTCTGTCTATTTTGTTGATCTTTTCAAAAAACCAGCTCCTGGATTTATTGATTTTTTGAAGGGTTTTTTGTGTCTCTATCTCCTTCAGTTCTGCTCTGATCTTAGCTATTTCTTGTCTTCTGCTAGGTTTTGAGTTTTTTGATCTTGCTCCTCTAGCTCTTTCAATTTTGATGATAGGGTGTCAACTTTTGATCTCTCCTTGATTCTCATGTGGGCACTTATTGGTATATATTTTCCTCTAGAGACTGCTTTAAATATGTCCCAGAGATTCTGGTATGTTGTGTCTTCATTCTCGTTGGTTTCGAAGAACAGCTTTATTTCTGTCTTCATTTCATTGTTTATCCAGTCAACATTCAAGAGCAAGTTGTTCGGTTTCCATGAAGCTGTGCAGTTCTGGGTTAGTTTTTTAATTCTGAGTTCTAGCTTGATTGCACTGCGGTCTGAGAGACTGTTTGTTATGTTTTCCGTTCTTTTGCATTTGCTGAGGAGTGATTTACTTCCAATTATGTGGTCAGTTTTAGAGTAGGTGTGATGTGGTGCTGAGAAGAATGTATATTCTGTGGATTTGGGGTGGAGAGTTCTGTAAATGTCTATTAGGTTTGCTTGGTCCAGGTCTGAGTTCAAGTCTTGGATATCCTTGTTAATTTTCTGTCTGGTTGATCTGTCTAATATTGACAATGGGTTGTTAAAGTTTCCCACTATAATTGTGTGGGAGTCTAAGTCTCTTTTTAAGTCATTAAGAACTTGCCTTATGTATCTGGGTACTCCTGTATTGGGTGCGTATATATTTAGGATCGTTAGCTCTTCTTGTTGCATTGATCCTTTGACCATTATGTAATATCCTTCTTTGTCTCTTTTGATCTTTGTTGCTTTAAAGTCTAATTTATCAGAGATGAGAATTGCAACTCCTTCTTTTTTTTGCTCTCCATTTGCTTGGTAAATCTTCCTCCATCCCTTTATTTTGAGCCTTTGTGTATCCTTGCATGTGAGATGGGTTTACTGGATACAGCACACTGATGGGTTTTGGCTTTTTATCCAATTTGCCAGTCTGTGTCTTTTGATTGGGGGCATTTAGTCCATTTACATTTAGGGTTAATATTGTTATGTGTGAATTTGATACTGCCATTTTGGTGCTAGCTGGCTGTTTTTCCTATTATTTGATGCAGATTCTTCATTGTGTTGATGCTGTTTACCATTTGGCTTGTTTTTGGAGATGCTAGTACTGGTTGTTCCTTTATATGTGTAGAGCCTCTTTCAGGAGCTCTTGTAAAGCAGGCCTGATGGTGATGAAATCTCTGAGTACTTGCATGTTCACAATGGATTTTATTTTTCCTTCACTTATGAAGCTTAGTTTGGCTGGGTAGGAGATTCTGGGTTGAAAGTTCTTTTCTTTAAGGATGTTGAATATTGGCCCCACTCTCTTCTGTCTTATAGAGTTTCTGTTGAGACATCTGCTGTGAGTCTGATGGGCTTCCCTTTGTGAGTAACCCGACCTTTTTCTCTGGCTGCCCTTCGTATTTTCTCCTTCATTTGAACCCTGGTGAATCTGATGATTATGTGCCTTGGGGTTGCACTTCTTGAGGAATGTCTTTGTGGTTTTCTCTGTATTTCCTGGACTTGAATATTGGCCTGCCTTGCTAGGTTGGGGAAGTTTTCCTGGATAATATCCTGAAGAGTATTTTCTAGCTTGGTTTCATTCCCTTCGTCGCATTCAGGTACACCTATCAAATGTAGATTATGTCTTTTCACATAATCCCACCTTTCTTGGAGACTTTGTTCATTCCTTTTTACCCTTTTTTCTCTATTCTTGCCTTCCTGTTTTATTTCATTTAGTTGATCTTCGACCCCTGATATCCTTTCTTCTGCTTGGTCAATTCGGCTGTTGAAGCTTGTGCATGCTTCGTGAAGCTCGCGTGTTGTGTTTTTCAACTCCGTCAATTCACATATATTCCTTTCTATTTTGTCCATTCTCCTTAGCATTTCATCAAATCTTTTTTCAAGCCTCTTCGCTTCTTTGCATTGGGTTAGAACATGTTCTTTAAGTTCACAGAAGTTTCTTACTACCCACCTTCTGAAGTCTGATTCTGTCATTTCATCACACTTGTTCTCCATTCAACCTTGTTCCCTTGCTGGTGAGGAGTTGTGATCCCTTGTAGGAGGAGAGGTGTTCTGGTTTCGGGTGTTTTCATCGTTTTTGCACTGGTTTCTTCCCATCTTTATGAATTTATCCACCTGTTGTCTTTGTAGTTGCTGGCTTTCAGATTGGGTGTCTGAGTGGATGTTCTGTTTGTTGATGATGAGGTTATTTCTGTTTCTTAGTTTTCCTTCTAACAGTCTGGCCCCTCTGCTGTAGGTATGCTGAGGCCCATTCCAGGCCCTGCTTGCCTGGGGATCACCTGCAGCAGCTGCAGAACAGTAAGTGTTGCTACCAGTTTCTTCTTCTGCTACCTTTGTCCCAGAAGGATACCTGCCAAAATGTCAGTCTGATCTCTCCTTTATGTGGCGTCTCTTTGGACATACAGGAGCCTGGGAGCTGCTTGAGGAGACAGTCTGTTCTTTATAGGAACTTAAATGCTGAGCTGTGAGCTTCGTTGTTCATTTAGAGCTGCTGGGCAGGTATGTTTAGGTCTGCTGCAGCAGAACTCATAAACTGCGTTTTGTTCCCAGGTGCTCTGTCCCAGGGATTTAGGGCTTTTTTAATGAGTTTCCGTTATGCTGCTGTCTTCTTTTTTTTTTCCTTCAGAGCTGCCTGCCCAGCAACGAGGCAGCCTAGTCACTGTCTGCCTGTAGAGGCTTTGCTGAGCTGCTGTGGGCTCTGCCCAGCTGCTGAGTGAACTTCCCTGCAGTCCTGTTTATGTGGGTGTAGTTAGAACTGCCTCAGCAATGGTGGCCCACCTCTGTATTGGCGGACTCTCTCTGTAATGGTGGGTTGCCTTGGCAATGGCGGGCTGCCTCATCATTGGCTGGCTACCTCCGTGGTTTTGGAGTGCCTCAGTAGTGGTGGACGCCCCTCCCCCACAGAGCTGGACCGTCCCGGGTTCAGCTGTGCTTGCTGTGAAACTCTCAATCCAGAGAGTTTCTGATTGCTGTTCTTTTGTGGGGTTGGGACCAGCCAAGCCTGATCGCCTGGCTCCCTGCCTCAGAGCCTTTTTTTTTTTTTTTTTAATTAAAAAAAAATTTTTTTTAAGTTGGTGTTCCAGTTGCCTGTTGAAGAGGTGCCAGGATCTGTGTGTTTTCCCGTGAGGCAACTCACTGCACTGGCTTAAACATTGGCTCTGCAATTCCTGGCGCTTTTTTGCCCTGGAATCTACTGTCCTGTTTCCCTGTTCAGTCCCCTTTTTAAACAGATGAATGGGCGACTTCCCGTGGCTCCAGTCACCAGCCAAAAGGGAACCCGGACCAGTGTATTTTGTATGGAGAACTGCTGTGCCAGGGCACTGACAAAGCAGCCGCGCGGGACAAAGCAGCAGCGCTGGCTGGCACAGCCCCACTGGCCGAAACAGCTGCACTGGTGACCCATGGGGCTTCTCCGTCTGGGAATTTCCTAGTCTGTGGGCAATAAAAATGCGGCGTCCGCTAACCCTCTGTGCTTTCACTGGGAGCTGCAACCCTGAGCTGTTCCTAAACGGCCATCTTGGATTGATCCAATCTGTTCCTTTTCTTAAACTCACCAATGAGATCTGTCATGTTTGCTTAGGGGAAACATTGACTTTGAAGAGAAAGAGAACAATTTTTTCATTCTAGTACTTAGACATTATGAGAAAGAATGGTTCCATAAATTGTTACAACAAATTATATTTTATTTATATGTTTTTTTTCTAACTTTTATTTTAGGTTTGAGGGTACATGTGCAGGTTTGGTACATGGGTAAATTGCAGGTCACTGGAATTTTGTTATCACCCAGATAGCAAGCATAGTACCCAATAGTTTGTCATTCCTTACCCTCTTCCCATCCACCACCCTGAATAGGTACCTATTGTTCCCTTTGTTGTGTCCATGCATATTCAATGTTTAGCTCCCACTTAAGAAGCATTTGGTTTTCTGTTTTTGTGTTAATTTGCTTAGGATAATAGCCTCCAGCTACATTCCTGTTTCTGCAAAGGACTTGCTAAGTATATTCAGTAATTTATCTTACACAGTACATCTAAGTCCAATCATTTCTCCTTAATATGCTTATTGCCTCCAACCCACTTTCTTACCTACCAAGCTTTGAGAAATCACCTATCCTCTCAGGAAGTTCTACCTTCCTTCCTCTTGGCCCATGAAACTTGAGGGTGACTACACTGAAACTATACCTTACATCTGGTTCTTACCTCAGGTCCATGGCTACTAAGATTGCCCACATATTCCCCTTAAATAAGATATCTTGATGAATTAGTAATTAATGATTTCATTCTTTTTAATGGCTATATGGTATTCCATGGTGTATACATGGATGATGTCTTTAGCCATTTCACTATTGATGGACATCAAAGTTGATTCCACATCTTTGCTATTGTGAATAGTATTGCAATGAACATACATGTGCATGTGTCCTCATAATATAAAAATGTTCTGTAAATTTTGATATGTACCCAGTAATATGATTCCTAGGTTAAATGGTGTGAAAGTTATTTCTGTCTTTATGTTTTTAAGGAATACCTATACTGTCTTTCACAATAGTTGAACTAATTTACAGTCCCACCAACAGTGTGTAAGCATTCCTTTTTCTCTACCACCTTGCCAGCATCTGTTATTTTTTGACTTTTTAATAATAGCAATTCTGACTGATAGGAGATTGTAACTCTTTGTGGTTTTGATTTGCATTTCTTAAATGATCAGTGTTGTTGAGCTTTTTTTTTTTTATATGAATGTTGGCTGCATGTTTGTGTTCTTTTGAGACGTGTCTATTTGTGTCTTTTGCCCACTTGATTTTCTCTTGTAAGTTCCTTATAGATGCTGGATATTAGATCTTTGCTGGATTCAGTTTGCTAGTATTGTGTTGATGACTTTTGGCTCTGTATCCATTAGGGATATTGGCCTGAATTTTTCTTTTTTCATTGTGTCTCTGCCAGGTTTTGGTTTCAGAATGTTTGGCCTCATAGAATGAGTTAGGGAGTAGTCCCTCCTTTATTTCTTGGAATAGTTTCAGTAGTATTGGTGCCAGCTCTTCTTTATATGTGTAGTAGAATTTGGCTATGACTCCATCTGGTCCAGGGCTTTTTCTGGTTGGTAAGCCTTTTTATTACCAATTCAATTTTGAACTCATTATCTGTCCTCAGGGTTTCAATTTCTTCCACCTTCAGTTTTGGAAGGTTGTATGGGTCCAGGAATTTATCCATTTCTTCTAGGTTTTCTAATTTGTGTGCATAGAGCTGTCCGTAGTAGTCTCTGGGGATTTTATGTATTTATATGGGGTCAGTAATAATGCTCATTTTGTCATTTCTGATTCTGTTTGGTTTGATTTTTTGGTATGATTTTTCAGCCTAAAGTTTATAGAGACCTATAAAGAGTTGGACAACCACACAATATTAGTAGGAGATTTTGACACCACACCAAGAGTATTAGGCAGATTATTGAGACAGAAAGCTAATAAAGACATTTGGACCTTAACTCAGTACTTAATCAAATGGACCTTACAAACATCTACAAAACACTCTACTCAACATCAACAGAATGTACATTTGTCTTATGTGCACATGATTCATACTATAAAACTAATCATATATTTGGCCATAAAGCAATTCTCAACAAATTAAAAAAAAAAAAAAGTCATATGAACCATACTCTTGGACCACTGTGTGGTAAAAATAGAAATTAATACCCATCAGATCTCTCAAATTCATGGAATTATATGAAAATAAAACAATCCACTTCTGGGCTGGGCACAGTGATTCATGACTATAATTCCAGCACTTTGGGAGGTTAAGGCTGGCAGATTGCTTGAGCCTAGGAGTTAGAAACCAGACTGGGGAACATAGCAACCGGCCATCTCTACAAAAATACAAAAATCAGCCAGGTGTGGTGGCACACACCTGTAGTCCCAGTTACTCTGGAAAGTGAAATGGACGAATCATCAGTGAGCCCACGAGGTCAAGGCTACAGTGAGCCATATTTTACTAATATCTTATTGAGAAAGTATAGGGGCTATGGGCTTGGCTTGGAACCAATTTCTGGAGGTTCAATTCCTTCCTTTTTTATTTAAGTTTTCACATAGGTTGATTCTTCAAATGTATGATAAGGTGGTGGACAGCTTTAAAGACCCTCGGAATTAGTTTGTGACACTGTCCTCCAGCCTGAGTGACAGAGTGAGACATTGTCTCAAAAAATAAAAACAAAAACAAAATAAAATATAAGAAACCAATCTGCTTTGGAATGAATATTTTTAAAACAATGATATTAAGGCAGAAATCGAGAAATTCTTTGAAACAAATGTAAACAAAGGTCAAGCTACCAGACTCTCTGGGACACAACTAAAGCAGAATTGAGGGGAAAGTTTATAGCTCTGAACACTCAGATCAAAGTTATGATTATATTTTATTTAAGTGAACTGCACACGGTTAATTATAAAATGTTTTGCTTGGATTTCTCAACAAATGTAGTTGTCATCTTCACAAATTACTTAAATGAATACAATAAGTTATATGTTATTTTTAAGAAGCGCAAAGTATGTGATCATGATGGATCTCCAGTCAATAATTCAGGCAATCAAGCTGACAGATAAGCTGCATCCCTTGTAAAAAGCTACCTGGGCAAAGCCTGCTTATAGCTTCATGCATCACAAATCATGGGCACAAAATGGCTGCTAGAGAAGAACCAGTTTATTAATAACTGTTGAATAAATGTTTTTCTTCAGTACAAATGGGATGACTTAAAAATCTTCTCCATGAGATAAACGTTTTCATTAATAATAGAAAACTCTGTTTTATAGACATCTCTGGAAACTTCTAAAAATTTCAATATAAGTAAATTCTGCTTAAAAGCATCTTCAGATTTTTTATTGCTTTGTTATTAGCGTAAATATAAATAATGTCTTCTGTAATGTTGATGATCACTTATAAGCAGTGTTGAAGTAGTCCCTTGTCTCTTTGACTAATTAGGTATGAGTTGTTCTTTTTATTATTTTTGAAACTGCTCACATTAGTGTAGCGGATTTTGCATAGTTCATCTAGTTCTACACATTTGAAAATTCTCTCTGTACCAGCCAGAGTATTGCTCACTGCCAAATTGTTATTGGTCCATTACTATCTCAACTTAAATGACCTTAGAGAATGATCCATTTTTTTGAATACTGAATCTTTCCATGAAAAAATATTTTTCATGTTTCAATTATTAATAATTGTATTAAGCAGTATTAAATTTTAACAAACAAAAGCATTATTAAAAATGTATATTTATTGATTTTTTTTTTTTAGGTTTACTTCATTATTTTAAAAGCAAATTTTATTGAGAACAGGTAGTTTTTTAAAGCCAGCTTTTCCAGTGAGTATTCCAAAGATTCAAACTATTTATTCCTTTTTGGCACAATAAAATTATATAAACGTAAGATTCAATGGTGTAAGTGACATACAGGCAGCCTTCATTGTGTACAGTGCCAGGTTAATGGAGACCCTTGACTATTGGAATCATTTCATTTTACAGTTCCTTGTGTACTGAGCCATGTAAAGCAAGGGCACAGTTCCAGTATGTCCAAGTTTCAGTAAACGCTCTGCTTTGCAAAACAAAAACTGCCTGTAATTCTAATAGTGTAATTTTTCTCCATAAGTCAATAAGTTGGGAGCAATAATATATTTTTATTACCATTGTAGAATATTTTTATTGATGAATTATAAGATTGACTAAACTATTAGATACGTACATCTAATATTTATAAGAAATAATTTTCACCCTTTTTATTAAATTTGTTTTCTGACAAAATGATGATGAATCTAGGCATAATGTTATTAATTTTATAAATTTGCAGTCTACTTGACATTGAGGTTCTTTAGTTCTGCTGATATAATGTGTGTTTCTTCTCTTAATTTGTTAAATTTGACTTGAAAACAACTTTAAAACATTTATCATCTCTGGCACATTCATGTTTCTGAAAATGTATATCCAAATTTTAGAAAAATAAAAGAAAAAGCAAAGAAAATGGTTTAATTTTAAAATTCAAACCAACACTTAAAAACAGTTTTAAATAATAAAAGACTTTTATAATTTTAAATGTGTAACAATATTTACACATTATGTTCCATGTACGCAACCTTTATGTAGTTAAAATTGTATGGTTTATATCATTTTTACATTCAATAGATCACATGCATTCCCCATTTTTTGCAATGGAGTTTATATTTTAGATTTTGATAATTTCATAACATTCCCATCTGGACACAATTTGTTAATAATTTCCACTTCTGCCACTACTATGAGAAAAAAAAATTTCAGCTAGCCTGCTGTTCAAGGAATGTTGAGAAGACCTTAGCCTACACAATGGCAAGAAGACAAGCACAGCCAGATCTTTATCTTAAAGCAAATTCATTCAGCTAGGATCTGTCTAGATAAGCCACACTACAGTCCCTCTTTGTTGCTTTGTTTTAATACTGACCAATAATCTTGTCAAAAGGGCATTTTTTTTTGTAAAAATTACCACCAATATTTATTTCTTAGACACAACAGTCATATTAGGCATAATTTTCCCTTAATTTCTCATGAGATTGTGTTGTCATTGCTCTGTAATTCCTCTGCATGCTCAACCAAGAAAAAATGCAATTATATTAGCAAAACAAAACAACTTTAAAACTCAATAAACTAGAGAAGTAATATAGATAGACTTTATATAACTTATCAGATCAACCAACATTGAAAACTTTTACTAGTAGTCTCAATAATATAGGTTCATCTTGATCTCAGGTTTCATTATTTTATATAACTATTCAACAATTCATAGGCTGTGGAGTGTATAGTGGACATGTAATAAATGAATTAAATTACATTAACTCCTTTATGACAAAACTTTCTGAATTATTTTGTTTCCTGTAAAAGATAAGAACAATACAAATGTAAAATAATGCTATACATAGTACTATTCTCAGATTTCAGATGATGTCAAATGACACTTTTGTTTTTGCATTTGTATTTTTGTTATCTGTGGATAATTGTTTCTTGGTACCTCTTTAATAGACAAAGAAATTTGCACAATAGTCACATTCTCTGGCGTTTACAATTTATTGTTCATATTAATTGTGACATTCTTCTACAAAACAAACAACTATGATGGATTTTCACTCTTTTGTTTAAAAATTACTTTGCCTCATCTATTAGTCCATTCTCACACTGCTGATAATGACATACCTGAGACTGAGTAATTTATGAAGGACAGCCAATTAATTGAATCACAGTTCAGCATGGCTGGGGAGGCCTCAGGAAACTTACAATCATGGTGGAAGGGGAAGCAAACACCCCCTTCTTCATATGGTGGCAGGAGAGAGAATGAGAACTGAATGACAGGGGAAGCCCCTGATAAAACAATCAGATCCCTTGAGAGCTCACTGTCACTAGAACAGCATGAGGGTA